TTTTTTTCCTTTTTCGTTTTAGTATAATCTAAGCATTATTCGTATCTTACAGCAGGAAGAATAAAAACCGTTTTGAAGAAGGCGACTGTAAAAAAATGCCTTTGGTCATCTTTGGTGACGGTTTAAAGAATAAGGGCCATGTTAGGTTTAAAGGTCTTAGGCATGGTGTCTCGAACAAAATCTACAGGCAATTGAAGCACAGAGAGGGTCTTGGAGAATTGTTACTTCTCGATATCAACGAATTCAAGACCTCCAAGGTTAGTATAACAATGATCATAGATCATACATTCTAAACAATATCTTTATAGACCTGCAACTCTTGCTTAAGCCAAGAGCTTCAGAATCTAAAATGTGGAGAAGGTGGTAATGTCAAAAAAATCCATCAAGTATTAAAGTGCAACACTTGTAATATTTTTTGGAATCATGATGTAATGGCCGCCAAAAACATGCTTCTCATTGCATATTGTGTTTGGAATGGTCAAGGTCGACCCAATGTCTTCAAAAGACAATTCACCACCTCCAATGTGGTTGCCTCGTTTCACTCTGGTGGGGTGTAAAGACTTTACATTCTGAAAGACTGTAAATTTGAAGCGGCGACGCTTTTTTGATACAATATGCTCTCCCCTTTCTTTTTTTTCCCTCTCTTTTGTTCATTCTCTCTTTTTGTGTGTGTGTGTCTTTATTTGCGTGTGTGCATTTTGAAAAGAGAGAGTGTGTTTGTGTGTGTATAATTGATAAAACGCATGGCAGGACCTAGCGAGGAGAACGAATTTAGACATCAAGTGCAGCAATTTGACTTTTGTGGAGAATCAATAGATACTTCATTAAGGTGTGTGTCGAAACTATATCTCAAGCTATTTATAGGCTTAATTTATAAATAGAAAATTGCTGGCTAAGGTTCAGCTTCCAAAAGAAGCGCAACAGATTGACCGTGCCATGGAGGACTTTGCAACAAGATATTATGAATGTAACCCAACACTTGTGGATAAACCAGGCAAGTTGAAATTATAAAAGACCGATGCATTAGGCTAACGATAGAATAGATGTTGCATATGCTGTTGCATTCTCAATATTATTGCTTCATACGGACGCACACAATAAGAACGTAAAGCAAAAGATGGATAAGGATACTTTCATTAGACGTACAAAGGTCATCGAAGGAGGAGAAGGGGTTCCAGCTGAAATATTGGATGTAAATATTTAGTTTAAAATGATGACATCGATACTAACTTTCTATTGAGATTATGTATGACAACATTGTTATATCAGAGTTTACATATGCAAAAGATATAACAACACGTCCAGAAAGATCAAACTCATGGTTTTCTAAACTGATAAGTGATTCCTCTACAGTCACATCGACTAATAGCACATCCAATCATACCAATACTCAGCCTGTACATATATGCATAAACATTAAACACTCGTCATTGACAAACATTTATAGACCTCATTTGCTGACCTTGCACCCAAGCTGGAACAGCTTATGCCAGCTGAAAATACCTTTAATTATAAAAGAAATATATTAAAGCCAATTCCCATCATGGATATCCATTTCTCTCTTTTAACAGCTAAATCATTATGTCTAGCTGGTGTAAGAAGTAGACACGGAAATAACAGCAATAACAACACATTCACCATTAGAGTTACTAAGGCTGGGATGCTTGATAGAAAACATGACCTGATGCATGGAGGTAAAAAGGCCACAGCTCGTAGTTGGAGACCCTTTGGAGTTATCCTGAGTGGAAGCCAGCTTATATTCTTTTCTGATCTTTCTTCGTATCAACAATGGTTGGAAGAGGAAGAACACACGTCAAAGAAGCCACCGAGGAGAAATAGCAGTGTACCTCACTCTGTATCCTCCATGACAGAATCAGCTTCCAATCTGAGCATCAACAACGCTACTGTCACCTCCATGACATCTCTGTACAGCAACTCCAACATGTCAACGATACCCCCACTCACTACTCCCACTCTATCTACCCCAAACGCTTACCTACGTCCAGTTCAGATCATTTCCTTATCTTATGCTGTTTGTATTCATGACGAAGCGTATACAAAATACCCTCATGTTTTTAGACTCATCACTGGAGACGGACAGCATTTCTTGCTTCGAGCAAGCAGTGACGAAGATATGGACGATTGGATGCTAAAGATCAATTATGCATCCGCTTTAAAGACAACAGGCGCACGAATAAGGCCGTTTAAAAGACGAAGTAACGATTCAACAGGTTCAGTTGATGTAAAGTATAGCTTAGAACAGCAAAAACGCGAAGAAGAAGCAAAAGAAAAAGTACAAGAATTGTCGGATCGCATTGAAGAACAGATTAGGATATTAGATCGAGAACTTCAGCTAAGACGCAATCTCATGGTCTTGGCACCCGTACAAAAATCAACTAAAGATAGACTAGTTGCATTTGCCGAAATGGTTGGAAAACGAATAAGGACGAAGCGAATCGAACTTCAGCGCTTGGAGTGCTATCGAGATTATCTAGAAGCCGAATTGGTCTGGTGTGCTTCTTCACAGCATCAAAGTAGAAAGGTATCACTGGCAACCTCAAGCTATAAAACTACGAACGGAAGAACTGAAAGCTTCAGAAAGCTTTCAAATCTTGTATTTACTCCACCCTCCGCAAGTACGAGCACTACCAGTAGCAGCAGTACTTCTACACATATATCTCATCCAGTTTCTATGCATTCACACACCCCGAGCAGCAGTAAGAGCGACGAGGATGATCCTGCTGAGAACAACAGTAACAGCAGCAGGAGTAACAGTACTAGCACAAGCACTAGTACTTCTAGTAGTAGTGGCAATAATAGCATCAATCAGGCAACAGACACTCAAGATATTCAGATATCCTTCCCCAAGCTGCGTATTTCCATAAACGACGCGTCTGTGAGATCGGCGGAGATGGACAGAGTCATGCGCCGTCGAAGTCAAAGCAATCCTATATTGCCCAACAAACAAAAACTGACACTGCTTCAGCCGCCCAACAGAAATCAAAGAGAAAGAAGCGGGTCAGAAGCATCACCTGTTAGGGCAGAGGATGATGATAGTATGAGTGTAATTATTATCAATGACACGGAAGGAACAGATTCTTCTTTACCGTCTCCCACTTGATTTTGCAATAAAGTAAAAATTGGCTTTCGATAATTCAAACTTCGCTTCGCTTTGATTGGAGCAAACTAAAAATAACGCAGTCATATTGGATAAAAAGAGACAGGAAGAGAGAGGCCCTTGATAGATTGAGAGTTCTACAAAGAACGCAGTTTCTCGGATCTCAATAGAAGCACGCCTATGCCTCTTTCTTTTTTACTAAGAAGGTGCGTTAGTCGTTCACCTCATCGACTTTATCTTCATACCAAGAAACGCAAAAACTTCATATTCGCACCTATTATTGCTTATAATTTCGATTACAATTGTCGTCATGAAGTAGCTGCTACAACACCAAATATGTCATTAATGTCAGAGCTTTGTAAAAATAACAAGATATGGGTACAACAGGCTAGACATTTCCATAGCTCTTACATAAGACAACAACAACAACGTCATGTTACAAAAGCAGAGTTGCTTGCGCAGGCACGTGGGTTCTTTGAAAGACTAAAGATTCGTATAAAGTATCCTCTGATGCGACAGATTCGACCATGGACACTTAATGACGCTACTGCTTTATTCTCTTGGCTATTTCTTGGTCACACCGTCTGGCTGTTAGTGGGTACGACCAGTTTTGTCAGCTTGATACTTTGGACTGCGAACTCGCTTCAGTTTCAAGGTAAGAAGAAACATGAACATGTATCCTATTATTATATCTAACTATATACACTAGAATGGATTGCATACCGCATTGGGAAATACCTAACGTCAGCAACAGGTGCTACTGTCGTATTTGAGTCAGCCATCGTACCCAACTGGAAAGACGGCAAGATTCGGTTCAATCATGTACGTATATACCGTATGCCTCGATCCGAACTTGAAAAATTCGAACGTCATGCTGCGTTGACCAATATTGGGCAGGCTATTCCAGAAGAGGAACAGCAAAAGAAGGTTGTCGTCAACGAGGAAGATGATCCTTTGGCTGGAGTCGAACTGGCCGATGACGAAAAAGACAATGAAGTCTTGAAAAAGTGGATGTGGTATAACTTGGTCATTGATCGTGTCGAAGTCACTCTAAGCTTAATTCGTTGGTTGGACGGAAAGGGATTGGTACAGAGTGCTGACATACAGGGAGTTAGAGGCGTTGTTGACCGACGTCATGTCCGTTGGGATCCAGACGAGCCCTATGATCCTGTAGCTGCTCGACACAAGTATACACCAGGCGATTTCGAATTGGAAAAGTTTACAATAGAAGATTTGTTGATCACAGTATACCAGCCTAATGGGTTTAGACCATACCCTGTATCCATATTTCATGCGCAGCTCGATCGATTTCGAAAGCAATGGTAAGAGATGGCGTGTGTAATAATGAAAAGACGATGACTAACCTATAGACAGGCTGTTTTATGACATTTTGTGTGCAACCACCATCACAGGATCCTTTGACAAATGTCTGTTTAGCGTACATTCACCACAACTGGAAAAGAGTGTGCTAGAGCAATCAGGACATATCGACTTTCCAGCAAGCGGATTTCGAAGCCATGACATTTACCACTACTATCCGTTCAAGCGACAGGATCCAAATGGTGTAGTTGTGGGCGGCGAAACAGAGAAATTTGGTGTATTGACAGATGACGACATGAAGAAGCAAGGATATAAAAGAAAGGTAAGTTTATTAACTTTAATAAGGCAATTAAACTAGTTCTCAACTGATCTCTTTTCTAGTCTCGTTTAAGAATTGATGGAGTCAAGATTGACCATTTAAATCGAGGTGTAGAAGGACCACCAGGCTGGATCACGTCAGGCACAGTCGATATCTGTGCTGATATCTATATTCCACAAGAAGCCGCTGAAGCAGATTCTACTGAACTTTTGCGCCAGCTTGTATATGAATTAACAGATAGTATCGAGCTTCCTCAGCCAGTGATCCTTGGAGCTGGTAATGGAGAATTGGTCGTTGGAGGGAAACAGCGTGAATCGAGGAAGAAGCCGAAAGAAGAGGACATGAACAATAAAAAGTTTATCATGGACGTAGACTTTCGATTTAAAGACACAAAGGCATCTGTACCTCTAAAGACACCTGAATTAAGCTACCTGAATAGTGCCATGGTCAGGCCCGTGGTTGGATATATCTCTCGCAACAAGGCTATTGTACCCATCAAGGTACGAGTCGTCATGGATTTAAGCAATTTTGATGGATCATGGACCGTGTATGATTCGACACTAGCTGAAAGGCTTGGAGAAAAGCTGGGCCAAGGCTTTGTCGACTTAACATTGGATCAACAAGAACGTAACAGAAGGTTAAAACGAATCGGATTTTGGAGCATAAAAGAGATGTCTAGAAACCTGCTGTACATTCATGACATGATGCGTGGTACATCCAGAGGCTTTTGGAGTTATTTGGGAACAGGCACTTATTAAGTTATTGTATATTTATTATCACTGTATTATACCCCCCTTCTTCTTTATGTAAATTATGAGCAACGCTCTTTTCCTTTTATTGAACTTTCCATAATAAAAGTATTAAACTATAAAAAATAGAATAAGTTTTCTTTCTTATAAGTGCATTATATCTTACTCGAAAGATATCCATGGATGCTGATTTGATAGGTATAATCCGTTTACTGGTAGCGTCGATTTCTGCAGGTACCCAATCCTAATAGAAAAATTATTGTCTTTTTAACCACATTCTGTTGTTTATCATGACTCGGTGTAGGATAACCACCCTCCGTAGTCTCGATCGATAAAGAAAATGTACGATTTTCTGAAACAGCAGGATTATTCAAGAGAGAAGGAATCGCATTTAGTTTCAATAAGCAAGCTCTTAAATGATGCTCTATATCATCCAGTGTACAAGTTGATTCACTTTCATATACTTTGGATAATGGCATATCAATTTGTTTCAAGACAGAGTTTATCTCGAAAACAACTTTTTCAATTATGCTATCATCTTTTTCATTTTTAACTGTTAGATTGATACATCGTATATCACCCTTCAGTATAAAGTGGGTAAGAAGATGATCTGAATAGAGTCGTATATATACCTTTTCTAAAAGTGGATGACATGACTGTACGAATTGAGATATATATTTCTGAATCTCGGGATGAACTGCGATATAAACAGGAGCTTGGAATTTCTTTCGTTGTTCAAATACTTTTCTAGGATACAAGTTACGGTAGTATAATATTTGATGGAACCATACTTCCACTAATAATACGAAATGAATAATTATGCGCATACAAAAAGGGCATTACACAGGTTACAAAAGTCACATAATAAGACAACAATGTCTATATCAAGCATAAATATATAAGATTACTAGTTATCATCTTGTATAGAAAAAATTGTAAAAAGAAACCTTTTCTAACCAAGTGAACTTTATCCATTGTCAAGCAAAAAAATAAAATAAAATAAAATAAAAAAGACAAAAAACTTTGACAGCTATTTTATTTGATTTTCTTATTCCGATTCACCAGTTTATGCTATGTTTCAAAGGGAGGGGAAGTCTTTATTTTTTTTATTAAGGTACAAGTAAATGAGCTTACCTTTAGATCACATGAAGCGTAATGGAGTCAACAGATTGCAAGTATAAATTCTTACGCTTCACTGCCACTAGGGTTGCCGTGTTGTCAGGTCCAGTATAAGCACTGGCCGGAACAGTAAACGTAAATATCCGTTGACTGAGTGGGCCGCCTGCTAAGACAGGTGTGAGGTTAAAGAAGTAGATAGAAACTGTTTCATCGGGTTCATAATTGGCTTCTCTAAAAATCACACTGACTTGTTGGTTGACGTGCCAAACCTCGTTATTTGTGGGGTAAATGACATCAGTAGCACCGTTTTGAGTGTTTTCTGCGAGGTACGTCTGGATTATTTGTATGTCGTTCATGTCCTCGACCATGGCTTGCAAGAATAAAGGTGATGTTGCTAATTCTGTTGATGAGCATTCTAGTGCTGAAAGTGAATTGCAAACAGCAGACCAGATCAGTGCGAGCAAGCAAACAGTGTAGACATAAGACTTCATATTTGTCTAAGATGAACAGAAAAGAGGAAGAAAAGAGGATAAATCTACGAGGCATGTAACATAAGTCGTTCCTGAAAAAATAATAATAACAGTAAAAAATGTACAGCAGTTTCTTTATAATAGAATACGGTAATCTATGATCATTCTGTATCAAGGCTGATAAATATTCCGTAATGACATAGGACAGAATTGACAAACCACTGTATCTAATAATAATATCACAATTTATGCAAGAAAAAATCATGCGCTGTATCTAACTAACGGAAAAAGCGGGAAGGTGCTTTGTTACGTCAATTTTTTTTTTGAAGGAGTTAAATCAGGAAGACTAGAGGAGTGAAACATATGCAATAGAGAGAGGGCAGAATAAGATAAGGGAAGATGGGGTATGTAAGAAACCCTTCAATAATTGAAGGAGTTAACGCCAAAATAACCCAATTTGATCTAGATATAAAGTTTGTAGCTTTAGGAACATGCTTCGGACGGATAATATTGATATCATAGTTCAAAATATGAGCATTACCAGGATTTCACTGAATTAGAAAATCGCCAGAGTCGTGCGGAAATAGGGCAATACGGCCCTGGCTGGTCCCTCTATTCATGCAGAAAAGGTGCAGCTATCGTGTGAACGATCTACAGAGAATGATGAAATATGAAAATTTACTAAAAAGATAGACTATGATTGTGGGAATCGGCACAAATGATTGATATCTTACGTAAAAGATACAAGCCTTAGACTTTATAGTAATAACATGCATCGCAAAAACTGAGGGAGTCTATCCAATAAAAAAAAAAGTGGTTTATATCAACCCAAATGGGCTGACCAAAACTTTACTTGTTAATAAAAATATATTACATATTGTTTTTAAAAAAGAGGATGGGCGTATCCGTTTATACATTATTCAATAGTCGCTTTCAGGTGAACTTTTGAAATACTCCTTTGTAAAGTGTTGTTCATGAACGTTGAAACTCAATTTGAATACCTTTCGGCATATGATATCGGAAAGAAGAACTACTTGGCTGTTTTTGTTGACATAGTTTTTCTTATTTTCCTCATGCTGTTTTCTGAGAAGAGTAGTTGTTCTAATCGATTCATTGAGACGGTTCTAAACAATCAAATTAGGCTTGCTATTATTTTCTTAATTGTTTAGGATTAGAAATATACCTTCAAGGCCAAGAAAAAATTGACCAAGGATGCTAGATAGTCTTCCTTTTCATCAAAGTTCTCGCTCCACGAGGCTTTTTCTTCACGCACAAAGTTATAAAACCCGTTTCTAGCATACTGCATTGACCACAGTCGGATATGATTATCTATGTGTTATAAAACGATATTATTAGTAAAAATAAGTAAAAAGTTACCTCTATTGCTTATCACTGAGCTGCACGAAATAGGGCTTCGATGGTCTAAACTCGTCAGCAGAAGCATGCTTATACTTGTCAGCTACAGTTTTTAGCATCGCTAACAATGAAAACATCCCCTTGGAGTTGTCGAATGCTATCTTTGCATGGTTACCATGATCAAAAGCACCTGCTGTCTCAAGGACGAGGGCTTCTAGGTCTCCGAGTTCTGCTAAGCATATGATTCCATCGGCATTGTAAATCTTTCGTTTGTCTTCTTTTTACCCCATTTTCTTCAACTATGCCGTCATAGCAGCAAGATTATCTTCACCAGGAATGAGATATGGCGCGTACACATTCCTTTTCATCATACCAAGCATTGCCTCGAAGCAAGGAAAGATCATATTTGTATTACATACAACTTCGGAGTGCGATATGGATGGTCTTTTCATGTAAACCTTAGCTCTAATCCAATAAAAAATTAACTTACTATTCAAATGATCCTGATTGTATTTTACTTACACAATTTTAAGGATAGCCTTAGCAAATTGGCATACTTCTTCTTGACCTTTTACAAGTACTTTGGTCTCAATCTTTCTTCGAACGCATCCATATCAACCTAAGAAAATAAATAATAATATATTAGATGTTTGATCTTTAATTCGAAAGCTTGAATATAAAGAGCATTTACTGAAGCAATAATATTATCGATGTAACTGAAGAGCAATAAGTAAACGGCAATTTCTAATTGTATCTTTTTATTTGTGTAAATAAGAGGTAAGGAAAAAAATTAATGTTATGTAAACACGAATATATGAAGTGTTGAACACATTACACAAGTAAGTGATCTTGGTTGTTGTTATCATTCCTTTTCTTTTATTATTCGAATTTGTACAACTGTTCCATTGCTACAGGCTACATATCCTTACTATACTTCCCTGTCGATCCGTGTTTGACCGCCTGAAACTTGAGACCAGCTTACTGGCAAAGCTAGTTCAGGATCATAGCCAATCGATCTTTATTCGACACTTTCTGGGAAAAACCCTCATCTTGATTCCTGCA